AGGGAAGGCGCTCTGGTGCCCCCTCTGAGCAGACCGGTGGGCCTGCGCCTAGGCTGGGCTGGGCTTTATGCTCCTAGGGCTGGGAGGGTCTTCACTCAGGCATTCAGGCCGGTTCACCCTCACCCGAGAGAAAGGGCACGCCCATGGCTGTGTTGGTTGTGTTTTTTTTCCTGCAATCCAAGGGAGCGGATGCAGCTCGGTGGGTTGGAGCCCCTGGCTGCTAAGCTGAGCCTTCAGAGGCCCCTGTGGGTGCCGCCTCTCCTTGGAGAGGGGCCGGCCAAGATCACACAGGTCGCCCGGGCCCAATATCAGGAAGGGATGGGCCATGACCCCTGCCATCATCCATACCTGGGGGACTCTGGCAGGGGTGCCGTCGCACAGAAGTGGACTTGACGGTGATCTGTCATCAGTTTTTGCCATAACCCAAGGAAGCTCAGACAGGTGTGGGAGGTCTTTTTAAGGCTGAAGAGGAAAGGACAGTCTTGAGCTCCTGGAGTTGACATGTTGCTTTGAAATGTTATGGAGAGAAGCCACCAGCAGCAGTCCTTAAACCTTTGGGTTCAGGTAATGGGTGGTACCAAGTTTCATCTGGCACTGCAATTTGGTGTGTGAAGAACAGGAAGAACAAAATATAGTTTGCTTCTCAGTTTTGGAAGCAGAGCGGGCCACTGCAGAGGGGATGTGTGACAACTCCCCCCTATCCTGGCCTGGCACACCCTCGTCTTCCCTTTTCCAAAGACTGTGTGAGTCACTTGCAAGGCAGCAGACGAGGAACTCTGCTAGTTTCATGTCTTAAATAATAGTTCTAAACTGTCCTGATCAGTACTTCTTGCACGGAATTTTCCTCTGAGCTCGTTTTGTGTAGTTCTGTCTCTCTCTCTCACACACACACACACACACATACACACATAATTGTACTGTGGTTGCAAAGTAAAGCGTGCTGCTTATATACTGCCCCATAGTGCTTAAAACACTCTCTGGGTGGTTTACAAGCTAATCATGCAGGCTACACATTGCTCTGAGCCACCCAGAGTGGCCTTGTTAGCAAAAATGGTGATTTAGGAACCTCCATGGCACCACAGAAGTCTTTATGAAGCAGTTCAGAATGCTCCGCTCCCTCTAGTGTTATTAGCAATGTGGAATAAACAAGGGCACCTTTTAATTTTAAGGTAAATGTTAGAAAAAATGCAAACGTGTTCAGTAGCGGTCCATTAGACTTGTCTTTATATAGATATATAAAGTCACAAGCTGGAAGAATCTCATTTTGCAACCTCCACCTTGCCGTGGTTTGAAAAGCTGTGCACAGGAGAACTTTTGAGGAAATGGCATTCGAGGATTTCCACACCAGCTGCTCAGGTGCCCCTCAGTCCTCCCTCCCTGGTTTACTCAGGGAGGGAAAGGGCACCTAGAGGCTTTGCAGGCTGGCCCTGCCTGTTGGGAGGCCACGGCAGGCTAGTGAGAGACTTTGTGTTTCTCTCAGCAGAAGACCAAGCCTGGAAGCACCCATGCCCTGAAGCGACCCCCTTTTCCCCAGCCAACCCCCCCCCCGGTCTGGAGGCTAGATCAATCCACGATCTCCCCGCACCCCAGAAGAATGCAGGGAATTGGCCCTGCCGTGTGCTCACAGCGCCCTTCATTCCCTCCTTGGAGCCCAGCTGTTTCTTATTAAACTGCCGCTCTGCAAGGCAGGGCAGAGGGTGGAGGGATCCTCCAGTTTGGCCTGTGTCCACACCCCCATTGCTCCCAAATTGGTTGCCGAGGGCCACGCACATCACCCACCAGACGCCGTTGCGCACCGGATGACGTATTTTCTTTTCCCAGAATTCATCATCCTCGTCAGAGAAGGCCGGGTTTCTCCCCGTTTCCATGTCTGCACCAGAAGGAAGAGGGCTGCCTCAGCAGACAGACGAAGGGAGTCATCTTTCCTCAGGCTTCAGAGTGTCACGTTTCGTCAGTGGGAAGAAAGAGAAAGGCAGGGAGCTGAAACTCCCCAAAAGTTGTCCTATTTTAATCCACTAAACCAGCCCCCGCCCCCCCCCCCCCCCCCCGCCCGCAAAC